TAGAATTTCCCTTTCTTTCATTGAGAGTCAACTGATTAGGAACCTTAATTACAACTACAAAGTCCTTTCCTCTTTGCAATGGAATATACAACACTATTTTATCAGTTAAAGCAAGCTCACACTTGAGAGAGGTCATTGTCATGGTCATCTTGGACTTTTTCCCATTATTATGATGCCTTCATGTTACATGCTACTTTAGACACACTTCTCATTGCTGTAAAGAAAAACAAACAAACAAACAAACAAAGAACACTTGACCCAAATAAGGACAGAAAGACTTATTACAGCTCAGAGTTGTTGCAAAGGCTCTGTTGACTGTTGTGAGGCCATCATGGCATGGTGACATGAGGCAGAGGCTGCTCACCTACTTTCTGGTAGAAAGGAGGCAAGAGAGAGTAAGGGACGAGAAACTAGATGCATCCTTCAGAAGCATGCCCCTACTTACATAGTTCTTCAGCTCGGCCAGCTCCTAAAGTAGCACTGCCAACTTTAGACCAAGCCTTTGATGCCTGAACTTTGAAGGAAGTGTGTGTGTGTGTGTGGGGGGGTACCTTTCATATCTAAGCCACAACAAACTCAAGGGGAAGTGATGATCCCAAGGAAAGGCATATTTCAGTGATGGTAAATTTTATCCAAATAATCTTCTGTAAGAAAATTGGAGGTAAACTCACAGGCTTGCTTTGAAAAAATAATCTTTTCAATCTTATGCAGATAGGCAAGAGCAACAAAAGCTGAAGCCTTGTCATTTTAAAACTTGTGATTTTCAGTTTTAGGCCGTGTACAGCGACCTACCTCAATGAAATTACAAGCCCTTTTCTGCCAGTAGCATCAGCTACTTTTTTAAAGAAGGAAACATTGTAAGCCCATATTATAGGACCAGGAATAGGAATGCATGTATGATAAGAATGAGAATGATATCACAAAGATTTTTAATATGCAAAGCAGCAAAATAATTGAATAATTCTCTAGTGCATATTTTCCCATAACTTCCAGATACAAGCATTTAGACTTTTTATAAATATAATTAAAATGTCAACTCTAGTCCTCTGTACTTCAATACCTGGGACTACCTGGAGTAGTCTAAAAATAACATTAAGAGGGTGTGGTGGAGCATACCTATAATTCCAGCACTCAGGAGGCTGAGGCAGGAGGATTGAGAACTTGAGGCCTTGTCACAAACAAACAAAATAGTAACTGTGTTGGCTAGTTTATGGAAACTTGACACAAGCTAGAGCCATAGGAGAGGCGGGAACCTTAACTGAGAAAAATGCTTCCATAAGATCGAGCTGTAGGCAAGCCTGTAGTGCATTAAGTTAGTGATTTATTTGGGAGGGTCCAGACCACCGTAAGGGGTGCAACCCCTGGGCTGGTCATGGGTTCTATAAAAAAGCAGGCTGAGCAAGCCATGAGGAGCAAGCCAGTAAGCAGCACCCCTCCATGGCCTCTGCATCAACTTCTGCTTCCCGGCTCCTGCCTCGTTTGAGTTCCTACCCTGGTTTCCCACAATGGACTGTGATTGAGGATGTGTAGACCAAACAATCCCTTTCTTCTCAAGTTGCTTTCGGTCATTGTGTTTTACCACAGCAAAAGAAGCCTTAACCAATACAATAACTTTACATTTTGGAACACTATGATCCAGGTCTCTCATACACAACTGCAAGCTAGCAAGGAAGCTGAATGGGGTTCCTATTTCCAAGCGTAACAGGCGTGGAGGACAATCCCTGATGAAACCCTCTGGGTAGACTCAGCAATGAGACAGTGTGACAACCTGAGTCAGAAGGTTTGGCATGATTACCTCCGAATACCAGAAGACTCCTTCAAGGATTGGATAAAATGCCAATTTTATAAGGCTACACATAGCATGGAGAATAGCTTTTGAGAGATGAGTACCATATTTTACTATTTTACACACATTTTTACTTACTATAACTGACTTTATTGGGGCACTGTTGTGCTATGTTTCATCTGAATTGGTGGTGTAAACAGTCCATGGTTCTACTGCCCCACTCATATGAGAAAGTTATAGAACCGATGACAGCTATGGTTATAGCTAGGTGATGACAGCGAATACCATTTTGTCTCAAAATCCAACTAAAGCATGGGTGTGATGGCTGTTCTTGGTTGTCAACTTGACTACATCTGGAATAATCTAAACTTCAGAAATGGAGGGCACACCAGTGAGGGATTTTTTTTTTTTTTCCTTAAAATAGGAAGATAGGAAGATCCCCTTGTAATCCAGACCCTGAGGCAGGAAGACACAAGCCTCTAATCTGGATCTTGAGGTGGCAAGACCTTTAACATAGGCCTTGAGGCGGGAAGACACACCTTGAATCTGGGCCACACCCTGTGCTGGAAGCCTATATAAAGACATGGAAGAAGGAAGCTTTTGCTCTTTGTCTGCATGCTCTAGCCTTGCTAGCAAGTCCCTTCCTTCACTGACATTAGAGCCTACTTCTTTGGGATTCCAGCATGTCCTGAAGACCAACTGAGACATCTAGAGTCATGGACTGAGCAACTTCTGTATTTGATTTTCTGTTTATAGCCAGCCATTGTTGGACTAGATGGACCATTCTAATAAACCTAATAAATCTCGTGTGTGTTGTGTGTGTGTGTGTGTACACTCATTCATTCTATACTCTGCTACTCTAGAGAACTCTGACTAATACAATGTGAATGACAATTGGATCATGAGGTCTTTGTAGGCCAAAGTCCAGGAATTGTTCAGTGCTTGTGTTATGAAGTAATGTTAAAGGTGGATTATCTGAGAATTCATGCTCAGGACTGTGGAATTGTCAGATGTTGGTTAATTTTCAGATTCTTTTCAACTCATGACACCCACTGTGCTATTGAATATAGGACTTGTGCTGGGTTTTGAGGACACCAAGCTGATGAAGTCATAGTCTCTGCTGCCACATGATCCTCTAATTCTCTATTCAGTTTGCAGTCACAAAGCTGGAGAACTTCTAAGAAATCTCTAATAGGTAGAACCCTGGAGTTCTAGGGAACAAAGTTCACCTATCTCCAAAAGATGACTCAGATCATTATGTGCAATTTTAGTTTTGCAAAGTTAAAAATGCTTTAGTGCTTGCCTGTGTTGTCACTTGTCTTGATGCTGAAACAAAATACCTGATGGAGGCAGCTTGAGGAAGGAAGAGTTTATTGTGGCTCTCAGCCCCTGGGTACAGTCCATCATGGGAGGGCTTGACAGTAAGAACTGGCAGTGGCTGTTCACATGGAATCCCCAGTCAGGAATGAGCCGAGGATGCCCATGCGCAGCTAGCTGTCTTTTTGACATGCAGTGAGGTTCCCCAGCTCATGGAATACTGGTGTCCATTTAGAGGTGGTCTTCCCACTTCAACTAACCTAGTCTAGATGATCCATCACGGACATGCCCAGAGGCTTATGTTAGTGATTATTCTAGATCCCCATTAAGGTGACAATCACTGTTAACCAGCACAATTGAAGCCTAAACTTCAGGGTTGAAACTTTGTCTCTGTTGCTGTTCTGCAGGGCTAGGAATCAAATTTTGGGCCTGGGCCTGGGCCTGGGGCATGCTAGGCCACTGCTCTACCATTGACTCCCAGGCCCAAAGTTGAGAAACTCTTTAATAAGCACATAGTGTATAAGGATTTTAGGTACAGGTATGAGGTACACAAACACCCTTGGGTGAGTCACTGACACCCGTTCCTTTACTCAACATTTTCTCTCGGGGACAAAGCCCTTAGGGATTGAATATAAAGGTCCATCTCCAATAAGTGAGCTAAAAAACCAAACTGTCACTTTTCCACTACGTTAAGATCAAGGAAACTGGAAAATAGTTTGTTCACAAGAGTAAAAACTTAAGAATGCAAAACTCATGTGTAACTCTGCAAAATTGACTTCTGTTAACCATAAGCTGCCCAGTGACCTCAATATAAGCACTGTTGTGAATGCACACATATGAGAGGCAATTTCTCTGCTTTTGTGTTTATCGAGTAAGCTCATAAAACAAAGGGATTTTTAAAGTCTGCAGTAAAGGTCTGCATTAAAAATTGTATTTAATGTGGGACTCCTGCTTGCAGTTATGAAGGTTTGCCTTCCACCTACAAGTTGCCATTATCTCAAAGGTGAAATTTTAGCACATGGCTAAGATGTTCTATGGTTACAGCTTCATGATTCAGCATCAGTAATTCAGAATGAGATCATAGGCAGTGGAAGGTGGTGTCATACTCTTTTGCCTGTGAAGGGACGCCCAGGGAATGGCATGAGCATACTGAATTTAGGACTACCAGCTTTCCCCACCCACCTTATACGAAGTGGGTAGACATTTTACCAGCTTTCCGTGGGAAAGATTCCAATTTGGTACTGTGCCATCACTACACACCAATGTGCTGGGTTCCCTATTTGGAGCTTCAAATTCTTGCAACCAACCAAAAATAAATCAAGCCAGCCATCAGGGCACCAAAGGAATACTACTGTGAATAAACAGCATTGCCTGGAACTTACATATAAACAACACTTCGGAAGCAAGCTTTGCCTGCCACATCTGGACACTTTTTAAATATAATCTGCTTACTACTAACAGCTAGACCGGGGTGCATCATTATTAACCCTGGAGATAAATTGTGAAAATCAGCCCCAACACAAACGACTCCAGGCGACAATCAAACGATGTCCACAACTAGAAAAACAATCGGCAGGCTGTTTTCAGTCCGAGCTGAGGACACTTGAACCACTGCAAAGCCCTCCGCACCAGATGGCTCCACCACCTCCCAGAGCTGGCTCAGGACCCCGCCAACCCGGTTTCTGCACCACTCTCATCCCGTGGGCTTCCCTCCCGCGTAGCTCCGCCTCCTTCCGCTCGGCTCAGCCTGGGCCGGTGGAGTCAGGGTCTGAGTGGCAAAGTCTTCTAATTTGCATGAGCCAATGGCTACGTTGTATGCAAATGAGGCCGGCCGTGATTGGCTGAGGGCTAGCCCCATAAGTCCAGAACCGGGCCCTTTGTCCTCCAGTGGCCCGGAGGCAGCTGAGCGGTCGTCACTTGCGGGGACTTAGGCGAGGAGCCGGCGGGTGGGAGCGAGCGAGCGAGCGAGCGCAGAGCCCGCGCCGCGCACTGGGGGGCAGGAGCAGCCCGCGCGCCGCGGGAGGGACTCGCACTTGCAATATGACTTTGGAGGAATTCTCGGCCGCAGAGCAGAAGACCGAAAGGTAAGTGTGCCTGCGGACTCGGTGGCCGCTGCCCCTCCCGCGACCGGCGCCCCCACCCCCCGACTGACCCGGTTCTCGCCCGCCCTGCCGCCCGCAGGATGGACACGGTGGGAGATGCCCTGGAGGAAGTGCTCAGCAAGGCGCGGAGTCAGCGCACCATCACCGTCGGAGTGTACGAGGCCGCCAAGTTGCTGAATGTGTAAGTGGCCCCCCCGGCCGCCCGCACCCCTGCCTCCCGCTTGCCCGGCCGCCCGCCTCTACCCCCGCACTCCCTGGAGAGTGTGCACTCACCGTTGCCCCGCTGCCCGCAGCGACCCCGACAACGTGGTGCTGTGCCTGCTGGCTGCAGACGAGGACGACGACCGGGACGTGGCTCTGCAGATCCATTTCACCCTCATCCAGGCGTTCTGCTGCGAGAACGACATCAACATCCTGCGGGTCAGCAACCCGGGCCGGCTGGCTGAGCTGCTGCTGCTGGAGAGCGAAACGGGCCCGGCGGAGAGCGGGGGTGCCTCGCAGCCCCCTGACCTGCACTGCGTGCTGGTGACGGTAAGGGACCCGGGGCTGCAGCTGGGAATCTGCTGGGGTGGACCTCGGCTGTGCTGGACGCTGATCTCGCGGGGGTTCTGATGATACCGAGCGTGTCTAAGCTCGTGGGTGGCCTCCAGCGGCGGAAGATATCCCTGTGAGTCAGCAGGCTGCCCAGCTCTATACCCCTGCCTACCTCTGCACTACCTCGCGCGTGACTAATTCTTAGAGCAGGACAGATTAGATAAAGCCAAATAAATTCCCGGCTCACCCTTCATTAAGAAGTCAGCTTCATTCTTCATTTGCTGTCAAAGCTAAATATAGAAATAGTGTAGGAGACAGACCTTATTAATTCGCTGGAGTTACTCTGGAGTATACAGAGTGGAATTCTTTTCTCTGAACCTTTGTGTTTGGATGGGCCCTACACACACACACGCACACACACACACACACCCTTTATAAATGTCTGATGGTTGAATAATGTTTTCAGAGAGAAATGTGCTATCTTGGTGCTGATGACTTTTGCTGCCAGGGAAAAGTGCCATGCATCGACTGGGGAAGATAAGAGTGGCTCTAGCCGCCCGGGCTGCAGCTTTCACATCCTTGTGTGCACAGAATGCTTTTCAGGACGATCTTACTTATGACCCCACTAGGGTGCGTGCTTGCTAGGGCAGACTTAGGAATGATAACCTCGTGCAGAATGGTACAGATAATTATGCAAAACTCTATGTGGCTCAATGGGCATTACAGGTGTTTAGACCTTGCCAAATGCTGCTTAACAGAATTCTCAGGTTTTGGCCCTTTCAAAAGTAGTAGCATTGGCTGATCATTTTAATGGGGAAGTAATTTTTCTCAATTTGTTCTCAGAACCCACATTCGTCACAATGGAAGGATCCTGCCTTAAGTCAACTTATTTGCTTTTGCCGGGAAAGTCGCTACATGGATCAGTGGGTTCCAGTGATTAATCTCCCCGAACGGTGATGGCATCTCAGTGGAAATAACTGAACCAAATTGCACTGAAGTTTTGAAATACCTTTGTAGTTACTCAAGCAGTTACTCTCTACGCTGATGCAAGGATTACAGAAACTGATGTCAAGGGGCTGAGTGAGTTCAACTACATGGGGGCTAGGAGATGACTTTGCAGATGGACAGAGGTGAAAATAAAGAAGGAAGCTGTGTTGAAACAAATCTAAGTCAAAAGGGACAAAAACTACAAAGAACTGTGCAAGAAAGAAAACTATTGATTTAGGATGGCTGAGTTACAGTAAAATAAGCCAAATATTGCTTTGTTGAAACCTTAAATGTGTAGCAGTAGTTTGGGTTTTTTGGTTTTTTTGTTTTGTTTTGTTTTTTTTTGGTCTTTATGCCCTCAAGTAAAAAGAAAGTGAAAAGGATTGATTGTATTTTAAAGCTACAGGTTAATAATGTATTTTGATGAGATGTTAAATTCTCAGAAGTTTTATTATAAATCAGACTAAGTTATTTTATGATATGAAAGGTTATTTATGATGAAGTTTTTGAAGCACAATATCTAAAATAAACTGGTTATAATTGCATCATTTCTCACTGTGTGGTTTGTGTTTTACAACATCGACTCAACTAACAGACATTTCATTGGCGCCTTTACACTAGGCAGAAAACTGGTGATTGTTTAGAGGATTTGGGTAAGGGAAAAAGGAATGTTTAGAGATTGCCCCCTGCAAATTTTGAATAACTATGACTAGTTATTTTAATGCTATTAAAAAAAAATGCATGCAAAATGTAGAAGCAGAGAGGAGGGCCGGCTGCCGAGGTCCTTGTGGAAGATTAGTGGAACTTTTGCTAAGAAGGAGTCATTTTCTTGGGGTCGTAAGAGATAAGCATAATTTCTCTAGCTAGAGAGAGGAAAGGGATGTTGGTAACAGCTAGAGCAGCTTGTGCAGAGGTGTGGGGGCCTGAAAGATCACAGCCTGCACAGAGACTGCCTCTGGTGTAGAAAGATAAGGGGGAGAGAGGGCTGGAAAGAGTAGGTGGGGGTTAGGTTCAGACTCTGCCCGGCATTCTGGTATCATCTTGACGTATTTGAGGAGCTTCCCTCTGTAAATTGGCCACAGTCTGCAGAGGCCTTCAGTCTGCAGAAGGAAGTGACATGGTCAGTGTGGTAGGAAGATAACATGGCCCGTAAGGGATAGTTAATTGCCAGAATGGCTGGCTGTACAGTACAGTAAGGCAGTGCGTTTTGTAGAACCACGACAGGGTAAGTTTGGTGATGCCCTTAGTCTTTTCCTAGGGCATTGTGCCTTCAGCTGTATTTCCACTAATGCTATGAGGGATCTGACTAGGTCAGATGGAAGAAATGCAGAAAAGAAGGGAGTAAAAAGCCCACAGCAGATGGCCTTTCCCTGTCTGCTCAGATCTGCACCTGATAATTAACTGTAGCAGCTCCATGCAGACACAGCCAAAGAAAGCAAAGACGCTTGCTGAAGACTAGGCCTGGCAAAGCTGCTGCCTCCAGTTTCAGGTCTCCCCACAGGCGCTCCTTGGGACCCCTACTGTTTGCCACCCTTGTGGCAATCAGGTAGAGCAGCAGAAACAACAAAACCCTTCAGCTTCTGCATATCTCCTAGGTTTCTGAGCCTTCCGCTTTCCTGCTCTTAGAAATGCGCGTTTCTAGACCTTATTTCTTCTTTTGCTTTTAAGCCAATGTGGGATCCCAAACGACTGAAATAGTAACATTTGCTTTTTATATTAGCAGAAGATTTGAGAGCAGTGACTTTCAAGCAAGACCTTTTGCCTTCCCACCATAGGCTCTTTTAATCTGTTTTCACAACTGTTGTGTTTCATGAAATAAGATGAGTAAGTGAAGCCAAGTAGGATGAGTGGAGAAAAGCAGCTGTTTGCTGGAAAGAGCACCCATGACAGCTGTGTCTCCCTTAGGCCTCAGCCTGATTTCTTCATCTGTAAAGACCACATTACCCATCCTACAGAGTTACCTTTTATAGCTTTCTAATCTCAGGGAAGGAGGAACTAATGTCTGACCCATAGATATATCCATACAGTAGGTGCAGAGCTAATATCTGGTAAATAAATGAATGGTTAGATATAATGAATATAAACCTGGGGCTGTGGCTTAGTGATAGAGCATTATGAGATCCTGTATCGGCAGTCTCCAGCACTGGGAAAAAGAATTACTACCAGGTACACGGTGTTTTTTGCTCAGATGCCAGCAACAGGAAAATATTTAGGGCCTCAGAGAGATCTGTTACTTATCGCACATACTATTTAAAAAGGAGTTTGAGTCACTTAAATCACAGTGCTGATTTAAGTGGCTGAATAAAATCTAAGGATTACTCCATTTGTTGAAAATCTCAATAACTGCAGTTAGGTATTCTTTTGTTTTGCTTTGTTGTTCTTTCATAATTTAAACATGACTTTAAAAATCTGATTAATAGATGCTGCCACCCAAGCCTGCCACCCCAAATTTGATATGTGCAATTCAAAGAGAACTGACTTCTGAAAGTTGTCCTCTGACCAATATGTGTTGTGACGTGTACACACCTACCTAGTATACATACACACACAAACATACACACACTCAAAGACACTGACACACACACACACAGACACCACACAGACACACAGACTCACATACTCACAGACACAGACATACACACTTAAACACAGACACACAACACTCAAAGACACAGACACACACATAAGCCACATTAATAAAATTCATAAAAAATGAGTTAATTGTAAATAAGTAAAGAGTTAAATGTATAAAACATGCCTCTAACTTATGCTAATATTTAGTTAATTGCTTTTAAAATTATTAAACAAACAAGGTTGGAGCAGGAGGATTGCTTTGAGTTTAAGGCCATTGGGCTACATAGTGCCAACCCAGCCTGGTATTTTTTTTTTTTAAAGGAACAAAACAAGTCACTTGGCCTCCTTCCTCCTTGCATATATGAACAACAACTTTACATATTTGCATGGGACATATTGTTTGTTGAAAAGTGGAAAATACCTATTTTTCCACAGGTAATTTTACCACAGAGTCAATATTGCTTCTGTCTTTGATTAACCAGGGCCTTCCGTAAATTAACTGATCTTCTATAATAAACTACTTCCCAAGCTAAAAGAAAAAGGGCTTATTTGCAGGAAAGAGCTTCTAACTAGAAACTTCTAGAGTATGCTTTTGGCCTTATTGTAACCTATGAAATAATTGTTTCCTTTACCTTCAATCTTAGGTGTTAAATTTTATTCTTTGTCAGCAAAAGGTCTGTTTTCTTCAAAGGAACAAAGCTCAATGACATAGACAATACCCAGCCACGCTCTCTCAAACTAGGACTGAATCTTATTTTTTTTTTTTTCTTTTAAACAATTCTTATGTAACCATAAGAACTTGGAAAAAAGTTGTATTTATGAAACTACCAAGAACTATTTAGTGAGTGTTTACTATGGTCATTAGCCTTGGCTGAAGAGACACTTTGGCCTCAGGGAGCTCACAGTCTCGTGAAACACTAAGTACATTGACAAGGCCTAAAGCTGAGCCCAGCCACAAAGGGCACAAAGGACTACTGTGGTAGTTGGAAGGGTAGAAGTTTCCTCAGGGCAAATAGAACAGAATGGAGAAAAAGATTGTAAATTCTTTGATCGGAGTTTGCATTGTATTTTGCAAACCTGCTTCACAGTGCTTGACTGACAGATAAGTCTGCTAGATGCTGCAGAGATGTAGCGGCCTATGGGACTCTTGGCATTGAAAAGTTTATGATCTGTAAGGAAGTCAAGCACCTTCCAGTAATGGATTTATTGAATGCCTATCAGGCACTTGGCAGTGTGTTAGGTCCCAGGGCTATAAAACCATGCCTTGTTACCTTTTGGGTGGTGTGTGTGTGTGTGTGTGTGTGTGTGTGTGTGTCCCAATACCTAAGGGTTCTTGAGCTGAGGGTAGGAGGCTGACAGGTCCAGTGACACTAAGGTTGAAACGAACCATTTGCCAGGGAACCGGAAGCAGTTTGATGCAGCAGGCACCGAGGTGGTGGGGTTGGCATGAAGCACAGCTCATGGCATGTTCGGGGCTAGCTTCAAGCCACACTGTATCAATTGCAGTTCGCCAGCAGTCACGACAGTCCTACGGCAGTAGGCTCTGTTACTGTCCCCATGCAAAGCCAAGGTGCGTCCTGATGATAGGTAATGAGGCAGGAAAGATGAAAGGCACCAAACCATGGTTTTGTTGAAAGGCAAGCTTTTTCCCAGTGGGTGATGGAAAGTTCTTTAAAAATAGCTGGTAGAGTCGGGGTTGTGTAACTTCGCTGGGAGGAATGAAGACATTCTAATGTAAGACTGCCCTTCCCCTTTGGCTATCAGACCATTGAAACAATGGACCCCAAGGAACTGGAATTCCCCCAGGAGTCTCACGCTGGGAAGAAAAGGGCTGGCGCAGCCGGCGGCCAGCGGGGAAGATTTGTCACACAGGGCCGCTAATTTGCAGGACAGACCTGGAGGCAGGAGCCAAGACAATGGATGATGTGTCAATGACGGGAGGAGCCACCCCTTGACCAGGACTGCACATTTCTTGCCTTCAATTTAAATCTAAACCCGTGCCATGACTTCAGAGGAGGGGGTCACTAACCCTCTTATTTGTCCCTTTTCCCAAAGCGAATCTCCCTTCTGTGCATTCCACCATTGTCTCTTTAATTTCCTATTGAGGCCGGGTGGTTGGCCCTAGCTTGATGGGGCGAGAGCAACTCCAGGACGGTGGGGCTGCAGCTCAGTGGTGCAGTGCAATGGAAAGAAGAATACATATATAAACTATACATGTATTTATGTGGCACAACTGAGGTAGGACACTATCACACCATGGGAGAGTCTGGGGACGATGATGTCATGACTTGCAAAATCCCGAGAGGTTAGAAAGTAGAGCCGCCTGAAATTTTGTGCACACAGTATTTAACAATTCAAAAACTCAGGTGTAAGCATGGGCAAATTCCTATCATCTCTTGAAACCTGACTGTCTGGAGAGGTCTCAAAAACCATTAGATAAATTAGTGAAAATAAAAGCACCTATGCCCCAGACACTCAGTTTCTAGAAGCACTCAGTGCTATCAGAACACTTGCTCAAAGTCCAGGGTTGGTTCCTATGATCCCAGTGTTCTGGAGACAGAGGCAGGAGGCTTGCTACCTTGCCAGACAAACATCCAGGACTGAGCACAGGCTGTGTGTTAAGCACTGTGCTAGAATTTGCTCCGTAAGGTTGGTGGGATGTGCTTCTGCCTGCAGCCGGCCACCAGACAGACACACAGATAACTTTCAGGTCAGTGTGGCACCAAGGTAAGCCTGGCAAACACTGCCAACCGCACCTCTTTGACTGCTGTGTGATGGTCAAGAAGACTTCCAGGAAAGGGTGATGCCTGCCCTGAGTCACCAAGTCTCATTAGGATCCTTTGAGGGAGGAGGGTGGCACTCAGGCATCTCCCTCTGTGCTGTTGACCCAGGTTTAGGAGTTGAGGGAGGAGAGACTGGCAAGCTGGAAAGGCAGAGACGCACAGAGGGCTTTGCATGCCTGGCACAACAG